ATTCGGAATTTTGGGAATTGGGATTGGAAATCGTGAGGGAAAATGGGGAATTTGGGGAATGGGAGTGGGAATTGTGAGGGGAAAATGGAGGATTTTGGGAATGGGAGGTGAAAATCGTGAGGGAGCTCACCATCGCTCCCGACTTCCAGTGGGACGAGAAGGTGGGAAAAGAGGGAAAAAACGGGAAATTTGGGAAAGAATCGTGAGGGGAAATGGGGAATTTTGGGGAATTGTGAGGGGAAAATGGGGGATTTTGGGAATTGGGGTTGGAAATCGTGAGGGGAATTCTGGGAGTGGGAGGTGGAAATCGTGAGGGGAAAATGGAGGATTCTGGGAATGGAGTGGGAATTGTGAGGGGAAAATGGAGGATTCTGGGAATGGGAGGTGAAAATCGTGAGGGGAAATTCGGAATTTTGGGAATTGGGATTGGAAATCGTGAGGGAAAATTGGGAATTTGGGGAATGGGAGTGGGAATTGTGAGGGGAAATGGGGGATTTTGGGAATTGGAGGTGGAAATTGTGAGGGGAAATTGGGGATTCTGGGAATTGGAGTGGGAATTGTGAGGGGAAAATGGGGAATTTTGGGGAATTGTAAGGGGAAATGGGGGATTTGGGGAATGGGAGTGGGAATTGTGAGGGGAATTTTGGGAATGTTGGAAATTGTGAGGGGAATTTTGGGAATGGGGTGGGAAAATGGGGAATTTTGGGAATGGGGTGGGAAATCGTGAGGGAAAACGGGGAATTCTGGAGATGGGGGGGTGGAAAAATGCAGGATAAATGATCTGGGTGGGGATTTACTGGGCTGAGGTGTGGAAATCATGAGGGGAAATTCCCAGATTGGAAGGAAAAGATGGAATTTTGAGGCTGGATTGTGAAAACCATGCGGGAAACCCAGAAAATTCTGAATCCAGGATGTGAAAACAAAAAGGGGAAAATTCCCTGATTTATGGAAAACCAGAAAATCTGAACTCCAGTATAAAAACCACGAGGAAAAACCCAACCTTGGGATGAAAAGGAGCTGGAAAAACCTGGAATTATGAGGGTTGGGATGAAAAATTGAGAAATTCCATCATTTTTTTTTCCAGGTTCACGGCTCTTCCGAGGCTTTTTGGATCCTGGTGGAGGATGTGGACAGCGAGGTGATCCTGCACCACGAATATTTCCTGCTCAAAGCCAAATATGCCCAGGATGAGCATCTGGTGACGTTCTTCGTTCCTGTCTTCGAGCCGCTGCCGCCGCAGTATTTCATCCGCGTGGTGTCCGACCGCTGGCTCTGTGAGTGCCCCTTCCCGGGGGTTATTCCTGCTTTTTCTTGGATTTAATTCCTGGTTTTTATTGGTTTTTATTCCTGCTTTTTATTGGTTTTTATTCCGGGTTTTTCTTGGTTTTTATTCCTGGTTTTTATTGGTTTTTATTCCTGGTTTTTTTAGGCTTTATTCTGGGTTTTTATTGGTTTTTATTCCTGGTTTTTCTTGGGTTTTATTCTGGATTTTATGGCTCTGTGAGTGCCCCTTCCCGGGGGTTATTCCTGCTTTTTCTTGGATTTAATTCCTGGTTTTTATTGGTTTTTATTCCTGGTTTTTATTGGTTTTTATTCCTGGTTTTTATTGGTTTTTATTCCAGGTTTTTATTAGTTTTTATTCCCGGTTTTTCCTGGGTTTTATTCTGGATTTTATGGCTCTGTGAGTGCCCCTTCCCGGGGGTTATTCCTGCTTTTTCTTGGATTTAATTCCTGGTTTTTATTGGTTTTTATTCCTGGTTTTTATTGGGTTTTATTTCTGGTTTTTATTGGTTTTATTCCTGATTTTTCCTGGGTTTTATTCTGGATTTTATGGCTCTGTGAGTGTCCCTTCCTGGGGGTTATTCCTGCGTTTTCTTGGTTTTTATTTCTGGTTTTTATTGGTTTTTATTCCTGTTTTTTTTAGGCTTTATTCTGGGTTTTTATTGGGCTTTATTCCCAGTTTTTCCTGGGTTTTATTCTGGATTTTATGGCTCTGTGAGTGCCCCTTCCCGGGGGTTATTCCTGCTTTTTCTTGGATTTTATTCCTGGTTTTTATTGGGTTTTATTCCGGGTTTTTATTGGTTTTTATTTCTGATTTTTATTGGGTTTTATTCCTGGTTTTTATTGGGTTTTATTCCTGGTTTTTATTGGTTTTTATTCCGGGTTTTTCTTGGTTTTTATTCCAGGTTTTTCTTGGTTTTTATTCCCTGTTTTTATTGGTTTTTATTCCCAGTTTTTCCTGGGTTTTATTCTGGATTTTATGGCTCTGTGAGTGCCCCTTCCCGGGGGTTATTCCTGCTTTTTCTTGGATTTTATTCCTGGTTTTTATTGGTTTTTATTCCTGATTTTTATTGGTTTTTATTTCTGGTTTTTATTGGTTTTTATTCCGGGTTTTTCTTGGTTTTTATTCCAGGTTTTTCTTGGTTTTTATTCCCTGTTTTTATTGGTTTTTATTCCCAGTTTTTCCTGGGTTTTATTCTGGATTTTATGGCTCTGTGAGTGTCCCTTCCCGGGGGTTATTCCTGCTTTTTCTTGGATTTTATTCCTGGTTTTTATTGGGTTTTATTCCAGGTTTTTATTGGTTTTTATTCTGGGTTTTTCTTGGTTTTTATTCCTGGTTTTTTTAGGCTTTATTCCGGGTTTTTCTTGGTTTTTATTTCTGGTTTTTCTTGGGTTTTATTCCCGGTTTTTCTTGGGTTTTAT